TTGAAGCACTATCCCCTGTTTTATATCTCTACTGCTCCTTCCATCCTGAGTTATCCGACTTCCCAAATACCTAAAACTAACCACTTCTTCTAATTTTTCGTATCAATCATTGTATTGGCCCTTTGAGCTTTTTGGTCACAAATCGCTATATCGGTGGACACACTACTTTGGTCCAATTGCCCAACTTATTAAATGGAAGTTGATGTCATAATCCTTTCAATCTCCAGGTCTGCTATTTGGAGACCCATTGTCTACATTTATTTAATTATCAATTACACATCACAAAGACTTTTGTTTCTCGATTGATTTGATGCCAATTGGTGTGAGATATCATCAAAAACTAATGAGTCTTTGGACTATGAAACCACTAGTTTATTCTAACACAGAATTGCAGGAAGTACCAAAACAAAAGAGTCTTTTCTCTTCTAATTGGGAGATAATAAGCTTAAAGAAGTCATCGATTGTCTATACCTAGGTAGTCATGAAGTACCACAAACGATGTGGTGAATGCCGTCTATTTTACAGTGCACATTTAGTGGAATTCAATATGTTCAACAAGGTTCATTGATGGATATCTACTTGCTGAACTGGATCCACGGCGTAGCTTACCATACGTGGTAGTCATGTAACCAAATCGAACAAAGAAGTTCATGGTGGTTAATATTTTGTCGAAACTGCGGATCGTGATTTCGATCTTGTAGGACCTCATCAGTGCGCTGCAAACAATTTCGACAAAATTCAGATATACGTACTCTAGCTGCTGTCAAGAGACAGCAGTAGTCTGATAACTCAGGATAGAGAAAGCGCTGGAACAAAGAACAGCGCAGGGTAGGGTAGCTTTTAATAAAAAGGAATGACCTTGAATGTACTCTGGACTAGTTAATTTGAAAATTCGGAAATCATTATTAAAAGTGTACGTCTTCAGAAGTTATTGATATTTTAATTAGTTACTGTAAATGAGCCTAACTCAAACGATTTGGCTGGATAAATTCATATTTTGGTACCTTTAAATATAGGGCTGAAACTTAATGTATATTTATACGTATACTAAATAAACCGTAAACAAAATTATAATTTGAAGTAATTAATCATTGTTCTTGACGTTAACAAGCACAAATATATCAGGCTTAAATGTTTTATTAATTACATTTTTGTTTTCTTAGATGCGGCGGCCATTTTTAAAATCAATTAAGTCAATTAAGATCATTAAAATTAATCAGGTGCGAACCTGAATAAAGAAAGGAAACCCTATAAGAAGTATACGTAGGCACATCAAGAAATTTCAACTCTGATTCTTTAGGGTCACCAAATCTCTAGTTTTATTCCGGAGACCACAGAAAATTAGGTTTCCTCCGGACTTCAATTTATACGGACTTGAGTTACAATTTTTTATGCGCGATGTAAACGGTTTGGTTAAGGTTTGTTTTTTTTTTAATAAGTGTAGTCACTGGATAAGGTTCAGATCATTCTCTTTGTCATTCAGTCAAAATCTTCAGTGGACTTTCTTATAAAATAATAAAATAATTCGAAGTGGTCTGTATTCTGTCGAAACTGCCAGACGCGGATCGCGATTTCGATCTTTTTGGATCTCATCAGCGCGTCGCAGCCAGCTCCGACAGAACACAAACCAACCTTTACCTGCTGTCTTAACAGCGCGTTTTAGAAGATACCACAAATGGCGCGGTAAACGCCAACTGTAGTACGATGCTACATTTTAGGATTACGTATGCTCCAACAAGGTCCATTTAAATATATGGATATCTACCTGCTGAACGCGCTGTTAAGACAGCAGGTTGGTCTGTGTTCTGTCGGAGCTGCCTGCGACGCGCTGATGAGATCCAAAAATATCGAAATCGCGATCCGCGTCTGGCAGTTTCGACAGAATACAGACCACTTTGAATCATTTTATTCGATTATGGTAACGTGCCTGTCACGTTGAGGTTAGCTACGGCGGGATTCATTTCAGCAAGTAGATATCCATACATATTAAATGGACCTTGTTGGAGTATACGTAATCTTAAAATGTATCATCGTACTAGAGATGGCGTTTACCGCGCCATTTGTGGTATTTTCTGGACTTCCTATGGTCGTATATAATTCAAGTACTAAAGTTATTATTTATAGAATACCCATAAATTAAATTAGAATTTATAGAAATGTTGGATTATTGCCAGTCTCAAAGATAATGCTATCGTGCACGGGTTCGTCCGTCCACGTGACCAAATTATCCCTTTCCGGAATAAACTACCGAAATTAAGATAGAAAGCAGGTGTTCGGGATCTGTTCGAGCGTCATGCCTTTGTTTCCCTACTGCGGGAAAACTAATTCCATAATGGACATTCCCTCTTATCTGATAAGACGGAGGCCTGCTTGCTGGTCAATGGCCTATAAGACGGGGCGGATTGGGGTGGAGGTGTCATTACGCCTGAAACCGGTATGCAAGTCAACCCCCAGCGTATATATATGGTTTCACATTCCCTTAATTATGTTTACCGAACACGAAAACAGTAAAGTTCTCGTCGCTGTATGTAAATGAATGTCACGTAAACACTACAAACGGAGAACTCGGACTCGGATTTTCCCACTGTTATAGGGGGAGGTTTTTGTAAAGGTTAATTACACATGAAATTTTGCAATGCCAAATTAAATATGTATTTTATATCTACAACTCTAATTTGCATTTGGCAATAAAAAATAAACCCCTTGTCAGGGACCCCAACGTTATGCATAAATTGTTTTTCTGATTGTCATTTGTTAAATATCAGGTAAAACGATTTTGTCGTTATATCCGGAAGTCGTTACAGGCAAAGGTAAAGAAATACAGATACATATGTACAGTTGCTGACCATCTGTGTGTCTGCATGGGATTACTAGGGATTTGTTTGTTACAAATGATTCACTAAAAACAGTCGCTACACCCGAACTCGGCATTACATCCGAAGTCACTATAGCCACACGAATTTTGTACAAAAGTATACTTTAAATTCAAGGGACTTAGATTTAACATCGCTACCTATAGCAAAATGATATCCACTGCATGAAATTTGCGAAACCACAACCAAGAATTGCAAATTTTTGAAGTTATATATCATTAACTTAAAAGTCAGGGGTAGAACGGGGTAAATTAATATAAATGACGGAAGGGAAAAAAATAAAAATCGTAAATCTGACCTTACAAAGGTTAAGTTGCCAAACAGAGATGAGCTCCTGGATGAGAGCGTGTGGGATAATTGCGAAATTTCTAACAAAATTTAAGTTTAAAAGAAGAGAATGCCTTAGATTGGAGCAAGCCTTATTATGGATCATAAATTTTGGCGCTTGGCCACCTATTAAATAAAAATATGGTAGCTGTTCCGCAAATGGAAGACACACTTTAACGTCGTGTTACATTAAGATCCTATGTCTTCCAGAATAAACAGCCTTTAAGTTCTTGGTCAAAAATTACTAACTAAATTAAAGAAACTCTTAATGAGGGGGTTATTGTAATATCCAATTAGAAACAGGGTATTGCCATCTGGTAGGTATTTGCCGCTCCTAAAGTATTTAAAGCTTTAGATAAGACATTGCAAAGGTTACCAAGCAGTTAATCGTTCGTGATAATTGATTTACATGCCTATCTTTTAGCTAGGCCAGTTAAAACAACTAACTAAAGCCTTGACATACGCTTGAAACATTTAAGTAGCAGCAAATACCCATTAGATGGCGTTACACCACCTGTATTCGGATATCATGTCTTCCAGAAGCAGTTACTGAAGAAATTCATTTGTTTGGAGTCTTGGCGCCCCAAAACCTGTCAGGGGTTTCAACTTAAAACAGAGTCCAATTACTCAAAGCATCATGTCAACAACTTTCTTCGTGTATTTGCTTACTCGAAAATATTTCTCCTTATTTTAATATCTCGTCAAAGAAGTCATCATTGCAGCTAAGTGATTTAGGAGATTTAATTTTAAATTGCCGTCGAACGATTGGACACGGAAAGTAACGACGTCATTGTCGTTTTCTTGTATTTTTAATTCGTGTTAGGCATCGTTGCAAGCTATTAAAAGTCCGTAGCGTAATTGAAACGACTGACAACGACGCCTTCGAATGCTCAGCGTCGCGTTATATTTTAATGGCAATGTGTACACCAATTACAAGGGCGCCTTTATGAAGCGTAACTTCTAACTGAATAATGACAGATAAATAAGGAACCCTCTACGTGAAAAGGCGGCCCTACTTTCGCTTTAATTAAGAAAACGAATTGCCTTGATTCTAAGCATTTTAAATTAAGAAAGACTACGTAAACTACTATATAGACTCATTATGATAATTATTTACATATTTTCTACAACATTTAATTATGATATTTAAAAAACAAGGGTGAAAATTTTGTATAGGTAGTAACATCTTTATTAGCTGCAATACAGTTACTATGTCTGATCAGTGACCACCATGTTTGTGTGTAAATAAATTGTCTTTTTGTTTGATATTTCTCACTCAACTAATTTTTGTATTTTGTTGGGATAGCAGTAAGTTTGCCAATCGAGCAGTAACTACTAAGTCACGCGTAGGTACAATTGGCTTGTCTGTGTACCAGCTGTTGGAAAGGTCACCGGTAGGTATGAGTGTTTCGTCCCTTGTGTGCGCGGTTGCACACTTGTTACACCCCCTACGTTGTGGCGCTATCACGAAATGTACTTTACAGTGTCTTCAGATCTTACATTTCGAATATTTCGGAGTGCTGATTAGACATGGTGTATGTAGATAACCTAGATCGATATGGGTGCTACAATCGAGGATTTAAATTATTGTAACTAAATCTGAAGAATGAATCACATATGTTAGCCTTTTTCTTGGCTTGATGGACTAAACACATGAGGATTAGATACGATTTTGATGGTCACCGATCTTCTCTAGTTACTGATTTACTTAATAAATCATTAAATCAATATTTAATTGCATTTGCAGCATCGATGAAAAATATTTGTTTTCGCTTAATAGAACATTTATTTTTGTTTCAGCCATAAAAGCTGGCGACTCAGTGAAGTACGGAAATAAATGCAAACGTAACTGGGACACAACAACTAAACAAAATGACCACTGAAACTGTCTGCACCGGATATGAAGCCCAGCAGTATTTTTTGGATAACCTGTTGTGCCATTTTGCTTTCCATGACCAAAAAGTCCAAAACAGCAGTGTCGGGTAAGAATCTAAGACGACGCTCAGTTGCTAACGAATCACGAATTCGAAGAAAAACGTTCAGAATTATTATCAAAATATTTCTGTTGTGCTTAAACTTAACTCAATATATTAAGCAAATCATAATAAAAATATAGTAAAAATGCCTCTTTATTCCATTCTAGTTAATTAATAATACTATTTTTGCAGTTCATCAGTTTCGTTAATTAAGATCGTTAATAACGTTTGAAATTTTACTTTTAATGATGCTTCGACGAACTTGATAACTAATTATCTCCTAATACTAACGAAGTAACTTCTTCTACATCAAATATTAAATTTAAAAAATTCAGACAGACCGAAGTATCAACATTTAGTTCAGTTCATCGTACCTAATATGATGTTACGTTACGATATCAGCTGTTGTTAGCCATCTTTGACAGCTGTCAGGGTAATGAGATCTATACAGGTGTTACTAGTGGAGCACCATCTAGTGATGACAAAAGGGCGACGGTTGAAATGTCTCCGGATGCAGTAATAGAGGAGAACTTTAAGATCAGGGAGCAACAGGTGAAGGGGATATGCGGAAAAGCCATAATAGGTGGCTGACTATGACAGCTGTCAAAAATGCCTGACAAGAGCTGATAACCGTAACGTTAGAGTAGGCTTAGAGGGGATAAAATTGGACGTATGACACGAATAACCTAAAAAATGCTTGTTCGTTAAATGTAAATATATATCATCATGATCATCATCATAAGGTTGTCAGTCCTAAGACTGGTTGGACACGCACCTCCACTCTTTCCTATCCTGAGTTAATCTTCGCATTTCCCTAAAACTAGAATATCCCACATCCTTAACTATTTGTGAACAGTAATCTAATCTAGGTCTGCTTCTACTCCTCCTAACTCCTGTTCTGTCTCTAATATGTCTCTGACTAGACCTTCATGCCTGAGATGTCCTATCAACCTATCTCGTCTATTTCTTATCGACTTCCATAGAGTCCTCTGTTCTCCTATTCTTTCTAATATTTCTTCATTTCTAACCTTTTCTATCCACGGTATCCTCTTAATTCGCCTGTGAAACTAACACCCTTACAGAGGGAATATATATATTGGACGGAATTTACATTAAGCAATAAAAATCCTCCTGATTCCTGAACGGAATTTACAACCCAATAGTATTGAGTGCTGCGCCAAAATCTGCGAGGAACAGAGTCCTAGTCAAGCTTTAATTCTAAGAACAATAATTATTTGGTTGGAGAAAGACAAGACCTTTTCGTTTCCATTGGGGTCATTCAATGGAAAAGTTACATTTTTGTTTAGGACACGACATATCTTGTAATATGCCATACGAAGCACCAGTTTTATTTATTTGTATAGGCGATAATCATTTATTTAATTTCGAGAGGCGGAAATAGAAGTAAAAAATTCCCTGCAACCAAAACACTTCAGTCATTAAACATACATATAATTTAGACATCTTTTAGAAGTGATTTAGTTTAATAATAAATATTACTCTGAAAATTCATTTCTGAATTTTTTTACCCACTACACACTACCTCAAATTAATGAGGGAAAAATTGTTGCTGTTGTCTAAATTATATGTATGTTTAATCATGGTATATTCAGTATATAGTTACATTAGTTCGACGGATCGTTAACTTTGTAGGTCGGTTGGTCGTGGTTGCTGTTGTCACCTCTCGTAGCTTAGTTGGTCAGAGCATTGGTGCGTAAAGCCAAAGGCCCCGGGTTCGATTCCCGGCGGAGGTGTGACAACAGCAACAATTTTTCCCTCATGGGTGTAGTGGGTAAAAAAATTCAGAAACGAATTTTCAGAATAATATTTCATACTTCAGTCATTATTTTGGAGATAGACGAGCGCAAGTTGATAGTCATTTCCGGACATGACTTTACACGCTATAGAAAGCCCAGTTTGTAAATAACAAAAAAAGAGATGAACAAAGGTGCTAAATCCAAACCGCTTGGGCTTCATAATATCCAAGCTTTGATGACGTGCGACTGCCTGCAGTACGGAGAGCTTTTACAAACGAAATGCTCGCTGCGGATCGCAATATCTCACAAAAAGTTAATATATGTATGTATGTATAGTACACCACTGGTGAATTTTGCATCCACTTTTTTTTAATTAACCCCGTGCTTTATTTATTTTTTTTTCTGTCCGCAAAACGAAATTTGATTTTCGAAATGAAATGCGCATTTGTTGCAAAGGAAATAGGCAAAATGTAAAGTGTCTTTTTGTTAACTCTTTTACTATTTTAAATGTTCCTAATCATTTCATTTCAAGTTCGTGTTGGCGCCGAATGAAGTGAAGAAGCCCATTAAGTTACGGAAAAAAAGTTGATTGCAGCTTTTTCGGAAAACACTTTACGTCTGCGTGGGACAGAACGGCCTCTCCATTTCCTCTTTTTTCCTTAAGGAACTTTTGTCCAATAAATTTCGTGAAGAGCCCGTATCATTATCTGTTTCTGCTCTTGTAGAAAAAGCAGCGTGATACAGATCGTTCCCCAGAGTAAAAGTCTTGGACTTGGAGTTCGTAGATTACTTGCATTCTACAAGCCGTTCCGGGAAAGTAATTTACTTTTGTGGACATTCAGAAATTCTTATACCTCGATACCTAACGCGAGTGCCCCTTTCAAATGATCGAAGTAATTTGGTAGTCCTGGAGAGGAGATAAAAGCCAAAGTCATCAGATTATAAAACCTTAAATCAAAAAAAGTCGTCGATTTGAGCAGAGCACATATAATCGGCCCTCGTATTAGGTCCAGTAACAATCTTTTTATTTTGTTAATTTCATGTAGGTCCTCTAATATGTGACATAGGTTACTGTTTCAATAATAAATGTTTATTTTTAACCAACTGATTTGCACGTATACCCTTATTGAGACAGAACTGCATCGAATTTAATCCTTTAGATTATTTTTGGAAAGAGCGAATATAAAGATAAGAGACGAAAAATTGAAAGAAGTGGCCGATTTTAGGTATCTAGGAAGTCAGATAAGTCAGGACGGAAGAAGTAGTAGGAATATAAAGCAGGATAGCGCAGGGTCGAGTCGCGTTCAATAAAACGAAGTCAGTTCTATGCTCGCGAACGGTTAATTTAGAAATTCAAAAATGTTTGGAGCACGACGCTGTACGGGTGCGATACATGGACAGTGAGCGCGGTAGAAAAGAAAAAGTTAGAAGCGTTCGAAATGTGGTGTTACAGGCGAATGATGAGGACACCGTAGATAAAAAAGGGTAGAAATGAAGAGGTATTAGAAGGAGTAGGAGAACAGAGGAATCTATGGAAGTCAATTAGAAATACGCGAGATAGGTTAGTAGGACACCTTCTCAGGCATGAAAGGCTAGTCAGAGACATATTAGAAGTTAGAAGGGGTAGAGGTAGACCTAAATTAAATAACTGTTCGCAAATAGTTAGGGATATGGGTTGTTCTAGTTTTAGGGAAATGCAAAGATTAGTTCAGGATAGGAAAGAGTGGTGCGTGTTCAACCAGTCTTAGGACTGACGACCTTGTGATGAATTTTGAAAAACAAGATCTCTTAAAATCGGTAGTAGCTATAACCTGACGATGCCTTACATAAATTATGTGTAGGTATAGAAATTTATTTTATCGAAGTGATATTTATGTATAAAACTTTTTTTCTACATTAATATATGTAAAATGGTTTTGCAAATATTGGAAATATGCTGGTACGATTCAAATGCACGCTGTAAAATTTCTAATGCTGCGCTGTCCCAATTTTCACGCTCAGCGCCTCTAAATATGGAGGAAATCCAATTTGTGGCACCTCAATTTCCATCAAATAACTCTTTCAATGTACCAAACGATACATTTCTAATGCGTATATATTTACGAAACAGTTGGCAAAGTCCCTTAAACAAATCCTCAACAAGTTCTTGGTAGCGATCTCATTACTATTATTATTAATATATANTGAGGAAACGACGGAAATAATTAAAATGAGTTCTCTAACATCATAGAATATTTTAAAGAACATCGTGAGTTTATAGGAAGGAAAGTAGACGTACTATTTATCGATTAAAAAATGTATTTGCATCTACTACTTAAATTTGATGGGCTAAAATTAATTGAAGAAAACATCCGATGATTAAAATAGTTGTAGGAATGACGACTGGTGATGAAATGAAATGGGTGTACATCACAAAAGAAACTCCTCTATAACTTATCAACTTTTGGCAAACGAAAAAATCGATACAGCTGAGGGAGATATTAAACAATATTGTTTTCAAATAAACCGAAATCTACGACTACTAAACATGTATGCATTAGTTGCATTGAATACAACCCGCTGACCCATCAAAATGGGTGAAAAGGGGAAACGCTGCGGGTTTTCGAAACAATGCGTAGAAATACCTCGTGTAGAATTATGCTGCAGCTAGCACAATCAGAGAATTCATTGGGTTCATAACTCAGTACAAGGCAATTTTGTACATCGACGCCTGATGTGATCCAAGTAGAAGCAATTCATCATCATGGGATCATCAGTCCTATGATTGATTAGATGCGCACCTCCAATTTTTCGCGTTTGCCTAAAACTGGAATTATTTGTGACCAGTAATCTTACTAAAAGGCATGACCAAGAGGTCTATTGCTTATAGCATTCGGAAAGATACTTGTTCGAATTCGGATGCGTCTGCATTAGTCCAAGTTTATCTGTGATTTCTGCGAAGATTAGTTCAGGATAGGAAACAGAGGAGGTGCATGTCCAACCAGTCTTATAACGATTTGTTATATGTTCTTTTGTAATGTGAAACGTTTATAGATGTTGAAAAAGATTAGACAATTGTATTGCGTTCCTTTGGCTGATTCTGCGAATTTAATAAGTTCTCTAAATTCCTATATGTCTCTTGGGATCGCCTGAAACCGTTCGTGGAGCTGAAATTTTGCTACAAGTGATACGTTCGCATGTCGAAGTGTGTACCGGATCCCGAATTACCGTTTTGGGGAACAAAAATTGCCGAGACAAATACATACATAG